AAGTTAAAAGTTAGCTCTGGTTTCATCTCTAAAATGAGGACAAAGGTAGATAGTATTAAGAACAAAAAATCATTGTAGGGATTAAATGAGAACATGCACATAACACACTTAGCTCAGCCCTTGCCACATAGAAAGCTCCCAAAAAACAGTAATGGATCTCCATGAACGCCTTTCACCCCTATTCTCATCATTTTTTCTCACAAGGAATATCTCTAGGTTGATTAAAACAGGGAAAAATTAGTAAAATAAGCCTTTTACCTCTCTGTTTCTACTGATGAATATTCTTCACTGGTTGTTACTCCACCGCGGAATACGGGTCTATGAATGCTAGAAACCACTGAGTTCCTTTCACCATTCGAAATAGCATCTGCCCAGACTTTCTGTGGGATAATTGCCTATTGTACCCTGAAGGAAGTTTCGGTAGTTATTTATGTATTTTTAGATTCAGAGTCTCTCTCTATCACCTAGGCTGGAGCGTAGTGATGCGATCATAGCTCACTGCAGCCTCAAACACCTGGGTTCAAATCAACCTCCCACCTCCACCTCCCGAGTAGCTGGGACTAGAGGTGCCTAGCACCAGATCCAACTAATTTTCTTTACTTTTGTGGAGATGGGAGTTTCACTTTGTTGTTCAGGCTGTTCCTGAACTCCTGACCCCAAGTGATGCTCCTGCCTTAGCCTTCAAAGTACTAGTATTACAGGTGTGCGCATCCACCACACCAGGCCCTTCAGCAATTTATGAAAGGGCTCTAATCAATAACTGAAAGCTTTGTCTTCTAATTGCTTCAGTGTAGCTCCTATACCATTTAAGGGCAAGTCTCTGTTATGTGGACATTGGAAGAATGCTCCACAGAGATCTCTCGACCCTGTTCTCTTCTTTCAGACTCCATTCTCCCCTTCATGGTCTCTACCAGCTGCCTCTTCCACTCCTTTTCTTCTTAAAGTGGTCCCAGCCCCCATGGTTCCTTCATATGTCTTTTAAGCTCTGCAATTCTTCCTTAGGCTGCTCAGTTTCTGATGGGTCTACAGGTGAACAGGAGGGGGTTGAGTATAAGGAATGCTTTCATTCTGGTCTAGCTGGCTTTCTCTTAATTCCCTGATATCAAATACAATGTGTAACTGTGAATATTGAATTTTTTTTCTGTACCACTTGTCTAGTCAACTTGAACTTTGGAGAATCTTCCTATTAACATGACTTTGATTATATTCCTTGAGAAATTATAAACTTGGCCTTAGGATTCTAAAAACCCATTTGACCCTTTTCTTCCCTGGGCTGCACTAGAAAAGCACTAACTTTAATGGACATGACTTTACTTCTGCTATCTGGGTAAATGACATCACACCCAAGCATCTCCTTGGCTTTTTGGTGCCTTCCAGAACTGAAAATTTCTTATCATGGCTTCCAAGGCATTTTATAATTTGGCTCCTAACTAATGTTCCCCCCTTATCTTCTTCCATGATTGGTCTCCTCTTCTCACATGTATTCTTTCTGTCCCTCTGTCTGTTGACTGGCTGACTCTGCCATATGAAATTATTTACCACTCCCCTATTTTGCTAGACCTTCTGGTCCCCATGCCTTAGTCCAGGCCTCTTTCCTGCATGGGACACTTCCTTACACCACCACTTTGCCCTCTTTATCCACAAACTTCAGCCCAGATCCTGCCTCTTCTTTCCGTAGGTCATCTTAGGTCCTTATCATGCCAAGTACATCTCTCCATAACAGCACTTAGTACATGGTATCATAATTGGCTCTCTCTCCCACTACCGTAAGATACTTTCCATTTCTGACTTCTCAGAGACTAAGGAAGAATGAGTATTTAGTGAGTATCAGTTGAAGACTTGGTTAACTTACTGATTAATCTCAAGTGCAGCCTCTTGTACTATCTTCAGGGCTAAATCACTTATACTTTCATAAACCACTATAGTGTGAAGGGGATGACACTTTCCTCCATCCCATTAAACTTGTTTGGTCTTTCTTTGCCTAAGAGTCAGCCTCTTGTCCCATCAGAAGAAATTTCTTTCAGTAACACTCTCCCTGGATTGATTCAATATGGTTTGGGTTTGGATGGATATGGGAGTGTGTGTCTGTGTGTGTGTGTGTGTGTGTGTTTAACATGGCAGCTTGAAATAGTCAGTATCTCATTTTCCATTTGCTTTTAGATTCTTCAGTTTGAGCCCATGTCCAAAAAGTCAGCTTATTGACTCTTGAATAATTTACATTTGAGGCAATGGAATGTGGTCCAGATGAGGATTTGCATCCAAAGGAGAAAACAGTCCTCATGTGCTGGAACCTGTTCAAAAACTGAAGCCTGTGGAAGTTGCAAAATTATTTCACTATCAAGGAGCTTGGGTTCACCATCAGTCAATGAGTCAGACTCACAGAATATACCTCCATTCACCAGTCACCATGTCCAGCACCTTCCCCTTTTGCCATGTCCTGTACCAGGCACCAGGCTGCAGTGATGATTATTAGGCTCAGGTCTTGCTATCAAAGAGCTCAAATTCTGTTGAAGTGAAGACCAATAAGCAAATCATGAAGTTGGAGTGAGATAAAAGGTGTGAATAAAAGTAAAGAAGACAGAATAGAGAGTCACTGAGGAAGGATTAACAAGTCCAGATATAGGGAGAACAGAATTCACAGGGTCAGTAAGGAGGTAAATTTTTTCCAGATGTGTCATACGTAAAGTGATTTGGGAATACCCAGAGTGGCTAAGGGTCCAGAATTTGGTCCCTATTGGTATGCTTGCCTGTTGAGGCAAAACAGCCTGGTATACTCTGGGGAATCAGAGAGGACAGCTAAGCAGGTGGTAGAGGACATCAGTATAAAGACTTGGAGAGCTGTGGACAAGAAAGTCCTGGAAAGCATCCTTTTTCACTACATGGGCGGCTTGTTGAAGAGGATGAAGGAAGTTATTCAATCTCAGTATTTTAGGGAAGTAGCTAGAAGTAAGCCACTATCATTCCAAGTCCCCGCTGATCCTACTTTTATCATGCAAAATATGAGAAAAAGAAAGGTGAAGATAAACAAGGTGACTGCCAAAGTTGCTGTCATGGAATCAGCTATAGTGAGACCACTGGTTAGCTTCAGATATGTTTTGTAGTAATTAGAGGAAACCTTCAAATGTCAAACAGTCAAGATGAGATGATCTATGCTCCAGACAACCCTAAAGCTGTCCAGCAGTTTCCCTAAGGTTGCTGTGGATCTTGTTATTACTTCCTGAGGAGTTTCTAAACCTGGTTTCTTGCAGCTCAGCCCCTAGAGCTTTCCCTTCCTTTTTTAACATGTGGTCTTCTCTTGTGATCATTTACATTTTTTTTTTTTTTTTTTTGAGTTGGAGTCTCACTCAGTCGCCCAGACTGGAGTGCAGTGGCCGCTCCCGGCCACTGCAGCCTTGATCTGCTGGGCTCCGGAGATCATTCCGCCTCAGCTTTCCAAGTAGCCGGAACTACAGGCGCGTGCTACCACCCCCAGCTAATTTTTTGATTTATTGTAGAGATGAGGTCTCACCAAGTTGCCCAGGTAGGTCTCGATCCCGCGGGCTCAGGCAATTCACTCACCTCAGCCTCCCAAGGCGCGGGATTACAGGCTGGGCCACCGAGCCCGGCCATTTACATTTTTAAAAGGCAACATTGAGTTACAGGTCACTTAAGCTGGGTGCAACCCTTCATAGCCCAACTATGGTGCTTGAAACCCAGAGAGCACTAAGACCACACACAGTTTGGAACAGACTCAAGCTTAGTCCTCCAAGTGATACCTCCTTGTTTCTTGATGCTAAGCCTTCATTTGGGGAGATCTAGTCTACTATCTTTAATATTGCTATTTCATACATGGCAGGATAGAGACTTGGAGAGGGTTTAATAGCTTATCTATGATCACACAGATAATGAATGATAAAAGGAACCATTTAAACTAGGTATTCCTGATTGCACAATTTTTTCCTGTTAGGTTATTATTGGGAAGTCCTAGAGAAAACCTAGGTGAACAAATCAATGCTAAGCATCACTTGTATCTCTTGAAGCAAACTCAAGTCTTAAGTACCTTGAAGTGTCCTTAGATAGCTAAGAGGATGTATCTAGATATGTCCTTTAAATATCTAAGACAATGATTTGCAGCACACGTCTTTTCTAAGAAAGTAAGCATAGCTCTATGGAAATATTGTCTTATCCATTCTTTTAAGTTTTGTATGACTGGATTGCACACCATACTGCCAGAGTGCCTCTGGGAGAGTTAGATATTTGAATTGCTGCAACGACTTATGCTGTCTGAATTGCATCCAGTGCTCTGACTCCACATAGTTAGAAAAATTTGTCACATATTTATGCTATTTTGACAGTAGCTGGACTGAAATATTTCAGAGGCAAGTCACATTTTTGCTTCACTAACTGACCTACCATGGAGCAGGGAGGTTCTCAATGAGTAATTAAATGACTGGAACAAAGGCCTTGGATACCTCTGTTGACAGAAGCATGCAGTAGGGCCATAAGAGAATCTTGCCTGGATGTTGACAAGAGCAAAGAAAACAAAGGCTGCCATCATTGATTAAGGCTAGGCACCAGTGAGCTATTTCATGTGCTATTTGGACAAGAAGGAAGGAAGTTTGTCTAATCCTAAATTCCTCATAAAAGTTGAAGGAGGCTGGGCTTTGTGGCTCTCCCCTGTAATTCCAGAACTTTGGGAGGCAGAGGCGAGAAGATTGCCTGAACCCAGGGGTTCGATACCAGCCTAGACAACTTGTCAAGACCTCGCCTCTACGATAAATAAAAAAATTAGCCAGCCATGGTGGCCTGCACCTGACGTCCCAGCTACTTTGAAGGCTAAGGCAGAAGGATTGCATGAGCCCAGCAGGTTGAGGCTGCAGTGGCCATGAGTGAGCCACTGCACTCCAACCTGAGAGGCAGAATGAGACTCCAAATTTTGAAAAAAATAAAAATTAAAGTTGAAGGAGATGAAGGACTAAAGAAGGACTTCTCTCTGATTATAAAGAACAGAAGGACCCGACTCGGAATCTCCCGCTGCCTCGGGACGCTCCCAAGATGGCGACCTCGCTGGGTTCCAACACCTACGACAGGCAGAACTGGGAGGATGCGGACTTCCCCATTCTGGGTCAGACGTGTCTTGGAGAAAACCCTTACATCCGAATGACCAAAGAAAAGTACGGGAAGGAATGCAAAATCTGTGCCAGACCATTCACCGTGTTTCGCTGGTGCCCTGGAGTTCGCATGCGTTTCAAGAGGACTGAAGTGTGCCAGACCTGCAGTAAGTTGAAGAATGTCTGTCAGACCTGCCTCTTAGACCTGGAGTATGGCCTACCCATCCAGGTTCGTGATGCAGGGCTGTCTTTTAAAGATGACATGCCCAAATCAGATGTCAGCAAAGAATACTACACACAGAATATGGAGCGAGAGGTTTCTAACTCTGCTGGAACACAGCCGGTCGGCATGCTGGGGAAAGCCACATCCACCAGTGACAGGCTGCTCAAGCTGGCTCGGACTACAGCCTACTACAAAAGGAATCGGCCCCACATTTGCTCCTTCTGGGTGAAAGGGGAGTGCAAGAGAGGAGAGGAGTGTCCGTGCAGACATGAGAAGCCCACAGATCCTGATGACCCCCTTGCTGATCAGAATATTAAAGGCCGATATTATGGAATCAATGACCCTGTGGCTGATAAGCTTCTGAAGCAGGCCTCAACAATACCTCGTCTGATTCCCCCAGAGGATAAGACTATCACCATACTGTATGTCGGTGGTCTGGGGGACACCATTACTGAGACAAGATTTAAGAAATCACTTCTACCAGTTCGGAGAGATCTGGACCATCACGGTGGTGCAGCGACAGCAGTGTGCCTTCATCGAGTTTGCCACGAGGCAGGCTGCAGAGGTGGCTGCCGAGAAGTCCTTCAACAAACTGATTGTCAATGGCCGCAGGCCCAACGTGAAATGGGGAAGATCCCAGGCAGCCAGAGGAAAAGAGAAGGAGAAGGATGGAACCACAGATTCTGGGATCAAGCTGGAGCCGGTTCCAGGACTGCCGGGAGCTCTCCCTCCTCCCCCTGCTGCCGAAGAAGAAGCCTCTGCCAACGACTTCAACCTACCCCCAAGTGGTCCACCAGCCGTGGTGAACATCGCCCTGCCACCGCCCCCTGGCATCGCCCCGCCCCCACCCCCAGGTTTTGGGCCCCACATGTTCCACCCGATGGGACCACCCCCTCCTTTCATGAGGGCACCAGAACCAATCCACTACCCTTCCCAGGACCCTCAGAGGATGGGAGCACATGCTGGCAAGCACAGCAGCCCCTAGCACACCAGCACCCCGGGCTCTGGAAGAAAGGGCCCTTGAGCATCCCTGTACCTCTCGGAGTAAGTCTATTTATTTCCTTCCCTTGTAGTTTCCACGGTACTGAATGTGTTCAGATGCGGGCAGTCGGAGGCCGACGGCCACGCCTTCCTCCACTTACTGCAAGGACCAGCAAACTCAAATGAGCTGCCATTCACACATCTGATTACTGCTCTAACATGACTAATCAAACCTGTGCCTTTCCTCCCACCTGGATGGGGACACACGGATGAGTGCATTGGAATGTCCACGGAGTCACCCTCCCATGTGTATGTTCATTTGGTATCTTTTCTGGGCTGGGGGAAAATTGACCTGCGGCAAAATACGCCCTTTGACCATTTTTATGTCCACTGGGCATTTTCTTTTTTATCATCTAAAAAAAAAGATTACTAGTACTAATCATTGTAGTGACCTAAGTGTGATCGAACTCCTGTGAGTCACACCCTCAGAAAGACAAGTAGAAACCAGCACAGAGCTCCTCTCCTTCCCATGGATTCCTAGGGGAATCTGACGGATGGTTTTACTTTCGCCACCAAAAAAAGACAAAATTAGCTTTTCCTTCCTGTCAGTTGGATAGAAACACAGATTTCATGGGACTGAACCCTGGAAGAAACCTCGTTTCTGGGATGAGAATATTTTAAAGAACTTCTGGTAAAACGTTTTATTTCCCAACTGAAATGAGCAACGTCGGCACGTGTCTGGGGGGAAGATTCAGTGCCCAGCAGGAAGGCACATCCTCAGCCTTCGCCTTGGGCATCTTCAGCATCTTGTAATTCCCTGCTTCTGTTTGGTCTTAGGATGTATGGATATACTGACTTGTAGGTGGTAAAGGAAATTTGATGTTATGTTGTTTTGTTTGTTTGTTTTTAAATAATTAAAACGGGTCAATTTAAAAAAAAAAATGAACAGAAACAATTTAGAACTTCTCATGTTATAAGTCTGAAGACTCAATACTATTCATACTATCCAAACTGAACTATTGATTCAAGTAATCCCTATCAAAATTCCAATTAACTTTTTTACAGAAATAATAAAAACAATACTAAAACTCGTATGCAACACAAAAGACCACAAGTCTCTGAAGCAATCTTGAGCCAGAAGAGCAAAGCTGTAGACATTATACTACCTGACTTCAAATTTTATTACAAAGCTCTAGTAATCAAAACAGTATAGTCTGGCATGAAAACAGATACATACACCAATGGAACAGATAGAAAACCCAGGAAATAACTCACAAATATATGGTCAACTAATCTTTGACAAGGGCGTCAAGAATACACAATGGGGAAAGGATCGTCTCTTCAAAAATGATATTAGAAAAACTGAATGTCCACACACAAGAAAAAATGAAATTGAGTTCTTATCTTACACCATACACAACAATTAACTCATAATAGCTTTAAAGGCTTAAATGTAAGACCTGAAGCCATAAAACATTTAAAAGAAAATGCAGGGAAGGGCAATTCCCTTGGATCCCCTCCCACTGGGAGATTTTCTGTCCTCTCAATAAATCATACTTTATAAAAAAAATCGCAGGGAAAAAGCTCTATGACATTGGTTTTGATAATGATTTTTTTCAACTATGACACCAAAAGCAAAGGCAACAAAACCAAAAATAAGCAAATGGGGATACATCAAACTAAAAAGTTTCTACACAACACAGGAAGCAGTAAACAAAATGAAAAAAAAAACAACCTATTGAATGGGAGAAAGTATTTGCAAATCACACATTCAGTAAGAGGTTAACCAAAATATATAAGGAACTCATAAATCTCAGTAGCAAAAAACAAATAACCCAATTTAAAAATGGACAAAGAACTTTAATAGACATTTTCCAAAGGCATACAAGTGGCCACAGAAATATGAAAGGGTGCCCTACATCACCAATCATCAGGGACACGCAAATCAAAACCACAATGAGTTATAAACTCACACTTGTTATGATGGTTATTATCAAAAAAGCAGAGATAACAAGTGTTGTCGGGGATATGGGGGAAAAGGTAGAATCTAAGTTGGTTAAACCATTATGGAAAACAGTATGAAGATTCTTTTAAAAATTAAAAATAGAACTACCATATGATTCAGCAGTCCAACTTTTGAGTGTATGCCTGAGGAAATGGAATTAGTTTATCGAAGAGATATCTGCATTTCCATGTCCATTGCAGCATTATTCCAACAGTCAAGATATGAGAACAACCTAAGCATCTGTTAACAGATGAACTGATAAAGAGAACATAGTGTGTTTGTGCATGTGTGTATTATTCAGACTTTAAAAGGAAGAAAATCCTTTTATTTGCAGCAATATGGATGAATGTAAAGAACACTTTTTCTAGGTGAAATAAGCCAGACACAAAAAGGCAAATAATACATGATCTCACACATGGAATCTAAAAAAGTCAGTCTCGTAGAAACAGAGAGTAGAAGGGTACTTGCCAGAAGTTAGGGGTGAGGGAAATGGGGAGAAATTGGTTAAAGTGTACAAATTCTAAGTTATAAAATAAATAATTCCTGGAGACCCCCATGTTTAGTTATAAGATAAACGATTACTGTACCCCCATGGGGACTACAGTTAAAAACAATATATTATATATTTGAAATTTGCTAAGAGAGTAGAACTTAAATATTCTCAACACAGGGAGAAAAGATAACTATGAGAAGATGATAGATATGTTAAATAGCTTGATTGTGGTAATCATTTCACAATGTATATGTATATCAAAACATCACATATACACCTTAAACATATATGATTTTTATTTGCCAATTATACCTCAATAAAGTTGTAAATAAATATAATTTTGAACTTTTCTGACCCAAACTTTGAGTCTCTGGCTCAAGCACTTTTATGAACTAAGTAGGGTCAGGTGAAATGCTTATTTACAAAGAAGTAACTGAGGCAGTGACCCGACAGATTGTGCCTTCACAGGCTTTGCATACAGTTCTCCTGAGTCGAGACTGCCTAACTTAACTGTCATGCCCCACTTCTTGGCTAACCAAGTTCTGATTTAATTCATGTAGCCATGTGCACTGGCCCATAATTGGTGTGAATCAGTTATGATAACCCCATTTCCTTTTTAACACTATTTACTCAGAGTTGAACAGATAATCCAGTTCTGACCAATGAGACATAGAGAGAAGTCACTGAGAGGTTTTGTAAAAGGAATTCCCCCCCCCCCGCCACCTTCATTAACACAGAGGTACAGGGGAATAAAGTCATTTTGCTTTCTAACCTGCATGCTTACTTGCTACTTTTGAAGGTATTCTGTGAGAACAATGATGTATGGAGCTGCAGCAACCATTTTGTGACCATGAGGAGAGACAACACAAGCAAACTGAGGATTCCAAAGGAAACCCAGTTCTTGATGACATTGTTTAGCTGAAAACCAAACCTGAGATCTCTCACCTCTGGACAGCCTACTAACTCAACAGCAAATGACCTTAGAATTTAAGCCATTCATGCAGCAATGTATTTACTTGTAGCTGTCCTTATTCTAAAGAATACTAAGGAAACTTCCAATGATGGCTAAACATTTGAAAAACAATCTCTTTGTTTTTAGGACAGGATGTTCTGCAAGAGCAAGAACATTTAGTTTTTCAGCCTTATATTCCCAAGTCATAGATCAGGATCTAACACCTTGCAGGTGCTCAGTAAACAAGTGATGTGTACACATATATACCTATGTAGACAAATAAATTGCAGAGTAGAATTTGGAGTGAGTGTGACTAAACTCAAATTTTCTTTTACAAAAAGTCATAGTATTTGTTGACCAGTGTACATAAGCCAGCCCTTGTCATGCTATATTTCCCAAACCTGTGTAGTACCAAGGACAGGACAGTGTGAGCTGCCTACCCTGGGCATAGCACTGGGGTGTGCATTGACTGCAAAGAATTTTAAGCAGTACTGAAAAACTGACTGAAGAGTTGGTCTGCTCTTTATTATCACCATGAGCCAGAAATATTAAACAATGTTTGTTATAAAATACTTCACCACGAGAAAAAATATTCTGTTAGTCTAAATTCTAAACAATTGTTGTGGTTATTATTGAGTTTTGATAATATATATGTAAGCTTTAAATTAACACATTTTTGGTTACTTATTCTTTAATAAACATTATATTCTACACAGAAGTTAATTCAGAGAACTCCCAGTTACACAATCGGCCGCCGACATGCATAGACCCAGCTATGGGCACTCATGCTAAGATTGCATTTGTGACAATTTGGAATAATTCCAGCACCCTTCAAGTGCATTTCACATCCCTGATACTTTTGATACTGTCTATCCCTGTAGGTAAACAAGTGATTCTGAACAAGTGATTAAAAAAGATGAAGAAACAGAACAAGAGTTATATCACTGTTGAGTTTCTAGATGATTGCTCAGATAATTAATTTGCATTTAAAATTTAAAACAGTGAAACAGAGTAAAGGGACAGGGTGTTATATTCTTGACTGGAAAGAGCAAATTCTAGTTCACAAAGGAAATATTGTTCTGAATTTAATTTTTTCTCATGTGACATTTTAGATGATATTATTAGACACCAAAAAACACTATTTACAACCAGCCAAAATCAGCCTGTTCAAACCTACAATAAAACATCATACTTTAAAATTAATTATTGAACTTTAGTACATAAAAATTGAAAGAAAAAAAAGCCACTAACTGCACAATAAGATGTAAGGAAACGAACTTTTTGCATAAGAAAATAATCCAGATTTCTAAGAAAAATGTGACGAGAAATAAAAGAAGTTGGTGTTACATTATTAGAAGACATAAAAAAGAAAAAAGGATTATAGACAGCCTCAGTTTCACAAGGAGTTGACACTTATGTGAAAGCAATTGACCAATGTTAATATTAATTATCATAGTCATTTTATCTGATTTTTAAAGAAGATTTTATAAAATATAATAAATCTTTTTGATACATTTTCTGGTGAAACTATTTTAGTTCATTTTGTAATAAAAT